TATTTGTAGCTCAGGCCCACTTTGGGGGGGGGGGGGAGCTTGGTGCTCTCTGAGTTTCCTTGTTTTCTTATCCAAACTGGGTAACATCATTGGTGCTAGTCAGCTTTTATATCTATATCTATATCATCTGTATCATCTCCATTTCTCTCTCTCTCTCTCCCCTTCCCTCCCTCCCTCTCCCTCTGTTCCTCTGTCCCCCTCTCTCTCTCCCTCCCTCCTTCTCCCTCCTTCCAGTCCTCCCTCCCTCCCTCTCTCTCTCTCTCTCTCTCCAGATAGATATAGATACTGTATATACATAGATATCTCACTGGTTCCCCTCCTTTCCGCTGCCATAATGCTGAAACTGTTGAATAAAGATATAAACCACAAAACTAAACGATCTGAAATGCCATTAAATATCTTGGAATATAATCTCCAGAGTCTCTTGTAATTAACTGTACTTTAGTCCAAAGTCTCTGAAGGGCATCATGGAACCTAACCTTGACTTGGTAGGACTTTATAAGGACATTCAGCATGGATAAAAACACTTATATATAGCTGTTGTTCTTAAAAGACAGTCCTTTAAAAAAACAAAAAAAAAAGCTGTCCTAGATGGGATGATAGGAACTGAAATTCACGTACTTCAGAGACCTTGTTATAGAAGACTAGATGAACGTGAATAATTCACATCATGGATAATTCGCAAGCTGATTCTTCTTAAGAACTGATTGAACAGATACAACTGTGTGAAATTATAAGAGTACTCTCAGAGCAAAGCCCCCAGATTGCGTTTGTGACAGCTTGGCTAAATGTGTAAAATTTTAAATATCTCCAAGGGGAAAAAATATGGATTTTCATAATCACAGGTGTGAACTTTGGGTGGTTTAAGTATGAATTCTGCCCCTTTGGCTTATTGAACAACATGGTTAAGAAAATCACAGCTGAATGTGATGTGTGGACCAAGGTCTAGGAGGCAATAAAATACAGCAAAATACAGCATAGGTATCCTAGTCAGATACCTATGAACAGGACATGGATGTAATACTTCTCTGCCTTATTGTTTGCTCCTACTTCTTATATTAAATTTCATATTTGCTATGAATGTAGGCTTTCCAAGTTGTGCTGTGAATCAGTTATAAGAAGGTGTAAGGGACGCGGTGGCTCAGTAGCTAAGACGCTGAGCTTGTCGATTGAAAGGTTGGCAGTTCAGCGGTTCGAATCCTAGTGCCGCATAACGGGGTGAGCTCCCGTTACTTGTCCCAGTTTCTGCCAATCTAGCAGTTCGAAAGCACGTAAAAAATGTAAGTAGAAAAATAAGGACTTCTTTGGTGGGAAGGTAACAGCGTTCTGTGTGCCTTTGGTGTTTAGTCATGCCGGTGACATGACCACGGAGACATCTTTGGACAGCGCTGGCTCTTCAGCTTTGAAACGGAGATGAGCACCACCCCGTAGAGTCAGGAACGACTTGCACATATGTGCGAGGGGAACCTTTACCTTTTAAGAAGGTGTATCTTCTTTGTCTTCCTTGTACCAACAGCTTCACTGAATGAGCTCCAACTACATTCAGTGGTTTAGTTAGCAAATCACTTTAAATCATGTTTCAAACATGGTTAGGCCCACCCTGTCCTCTGAATTAATGAATTTTAACTCATGGTTTCATTATTATTTTTTGAACAAGTCTCAGTTGCCTGGGGTAATATTACCATGAAATCATGATTTGAAAGGCACCATGGATACTTGACTTCCCCAACCCGGGTGTCATTCAGATGGATGGGCTTCAGTGTTCAGAGTTCCATGGTCACAATTGTTGAGAATTCTTGACATTGAAGTTCACCCATCTGAGGAAAATCTAGGAGATGGAAAGCCAGGTGAAACCTAAGAAATTATACATTATGGCCTCATATAAGGTATGGCAGGCAATGATTAACTATGAACATACATATGCCTTTGAATCATTTTTGAGACTTAGCAACTACCTGGGCAATTCTCCACAGTTTTCTTGGAAAGATTTTACAAGTGGTTTCCCATTGCTTCCTTTCTAGGGCTAAGGACAAGAACTGGCCCAAGTCACCCAGCTGGCTTCCTATCAAAGGCTGGAACAGGACTCACATTTTCCCAGTTTCTATCCTGGTAGCTTAATCATTGCACCAAACTAGGTCATACATTTTGTAGGATATTCTAAATTAACTTTCCTTAGCCCTAAGGTTTCATAAGATTTATAAAAATACATGGCTGCAATTAGGTTCAGACTTCTGTTTAGAATGTCTTTGTTAGTTATTGCTTTGTCGTTTTATTTTGATAAAGCTGGTGGTTTTGCTTTAGGGAATATATAAGTATCTACTTCATTACATTGTGATTATTAGAAAAAGGGTTTATTACTCTCACCCCCTGCAATACAGAGTGAAATACTAAGCCCTGATTAACATATATTGCATAACTGTTAAACTATCATGCACTCAGTGCATTGCAAGTGGCTGGATTATAGATTATTAATTTTTTTTATTGGTATCTTGCCTTTTTGCCCAAAGAGATCCTGGAAGACATACCCCATGAGGCAGGGTGGGCTGCTGGGGGTTCTCAGAGATTTGGGAGAACCTCTAGCTAAGATTCTGTGCAGTTCAGAGAACCCCCAAATCCCACTCCTGGCTGGCCACGCCCACCCCTCCCCTCCCCTCCCTTCCAAGGAGTCCCCATGAGGCCTGTTTTGGCTGTAGGTAAGTGCAGGGCATGCGTGGAGGGTCGGGGAGGGCGAAAAACAGGCCTACCAGAAGATCGGGAGGGCCTCTGGAGCCTGGGGAGGCCATTTTCGCCCTCCCAGAGGCTTGAGGAAAGCCTCTGGAGCCCGGGGAGGGCAACTCCCCCTCCCTGCCATGGTGCAGGAGGCCTACTAGGCCACACCCACCATGGCCATGCCCACCCAGCAACCGGGCAAAGAACCCCTTGCTAAAATTTTTGAAGTCCACCCCTGCCATGAGGGTAAATAGGAGAAATGTGGGAACTTCAGCTTGGAGAAAAGAAGCCTTGCAGCTTAGTATGATGTGTGAACTTGGATGGTTTTGAACAGACTTGAACTGTGTCCTCACTTTTTAATTTCATGGACCATCCCTGTGTTTAACACGACATAAAACAGCAATTTATCAAGTGAATCATGACAAATATCTCTAAGGGGATTCTTACGCATAATGGTATACCACCGAGATCATCTGTCAATTTCTTTTACTTACTAGTAATTTGCATCCCTGCTGAAGAGAGGATTTGAAACTACTG